TTGTGTCTGGCCCCTTGGAAGAGCACAACCATGTGATTATGTCACATAATCTCTCCTTTTTGTTGAAATAAGTACTAGAATAAGTATGTTAAGCACCCGTTATAATTTAAATAGACCGGATTATCCACCCAAAAGACAAAGAAAATGGTGCAATCCTTGAAGGATAAAAGAATAGGTTGTCTCTTTGTGTTGCATGTTGTTATAAATGCAGTGCCCAGATCTGGATATATTGCAACAGATGAGTCGGATGACTGATTTTTGGAATAATTGTATTGGACTAAAGTGTATGGAGCTTGACCTATCGTTATAAGACAACTGCCTTTGAACCATCTACAGATTCTTAGATCTTAGATTAACAGAGTTAGAAGGTACTTTGTAGGTCATCTAGTCCAACCACTGCCCAAGCAGGAGGCCCTACACCATTTCTGACAAATGGCAGGCCAATCTCTTCTTGAAAGTCTCAAGTGATGAAGCTCCCACAACTTCCGAAGGCAAGCTCTTCCATTGGTTGATTGTTCTCACTGACAATTATTCTGATGATCCCTGAGGGCAGCCCTACACAGAATTAATTAAACTACTTTGGTTGAGAAGTGTCAATTTCAGGAATAGCCTTTGTTAAAATTTCTTATTCAAGGAAAGGCTGCACCAGTCATCCAGACCCTGAGAGCCTCCATGTACTGGTTAAGGACTTTGATTGGATCAACTGTTCTATTGGGACTGGAGATATGCAACAAGTTATCCTCAACATCAACATACAGATGGTAATTGACCTCCCCAGCAACTCCCAGATGGTCCAAAGATACTACAGTCAATGATATTGATTGTTGCTGAGAGATCCATCAGAACCAAGAGAATCTCCTGCTGTTGTGGTCATTTTGATCTATGGAAGTAACATCCCCAACCACTTTTCCCTGGGCACCATCTTCCATCATTGCTTTCCCGCAACATTTTATTTTTTCCCACTCCTCCTCTTCTCACTGCATTTGCTCATATTCATTATGCTCCTTTATCTCCTATAAGAAAAGACTCAGGTGCACCAGGAAGGAAAACCACAACATCAATCCACATTATTCTGTCTTCCTCGTATGGAACACTTTAGCTCTAGTTCGACACAACTGAAGTAGAAATATACACTGAAATGGATGATCTGGAGGCTAGATATGTTTAATCCTGTGATTTTGTTGAATATGTGGGTATGTTCAGTTGAAGGAAAAGAAGATTAAAAGAAATTATGAAGGCATTTCCTAAACACCTGGAAGATTGCTGTGCAGAAGTGGGTCCAGTTTTCTCTTGCTCTGTACAGCAAACTAGTGCCTGGTTGGTGGAAACCTCAGGAAAACAAATTTTGGCTAAAATGAGGGGTGAAAGTTCTTCAACAGTGGAAAGGCTCGCTTTGTGGGCAAAGTGAGGGTTAGATTCTCCTTCTTTGGTGATATGTTTAAACAGAGATTGAATGGCCTCTAATTTAGGATGTTATTTGTCCATCCTTCAGTGCAGTCTGCACTGACCAGGACATCAAGTTAGATGTTCTCCAAGCTCTTACAAATTCTTAGAATCTCTGAAGGCATTGACCATTTAAACCTCTTACCTTCAGAGTAAAACTAAGAGTAGCTATCTCACTACAAAGTCTTATTTCTATTCATTGTGTGTGCACTATCCATTAAGTCCTTGTTCTTTTTAGGTTACTGATTAAAATGCTACATTTATTCAAGAGCCTTTAGTGAGGAAGATCATCAACAAGGTTAATACTTTCAATTTGTTAAAAAAAAAAAATCCTAAGCAATCTGTATTTACTGCAGCCTTCCCGGATAGTTTCGGCTAAAACTCCTACTATTTCTAACTAGGAAGTAATTACTCTACTATTGAGAGATATAATTGATATATCTGGAAAGCTGAATATTTGGTGAGGGGAAGAAATCACCGCTATTCCCATGCACATTGAGACTCTTAACAAATCCTAATAGGTTTAATAAGATCCCCTTTGTAATGGTATGTGGGAACAACCCTGGAAGACAGAAGGAGAGTTACGGACTGGAGAATTGGCATGTAAAAGATGTCTCAGCCCATAGAAGGGGTGGATGCGGGAAATGTTTCAGAATGGGTTGCATTGATAGGTAGGAAAGTCCTTGGGATATGGGGTGGAGAGCTATTGCCTGGGGAATGGTCTGATACATAATAGTATATAGAAATGATGGTGGGAGATTTGTACTTTGAGACTTGCAAGAGTGTAGATCTATATAGAGTAGAATTAGTTTACCTGATAACCTATCTGGCCTACCTGGGAAGGCTGACACCAGTTATGCAAGTCTGAAAGTACCATTCTGCTGATCTTACAGAGGATCCCTCCTGAGCCTCTTCCTTCACCCACTATGCAGCTGTGGGCTGTAATATCTCTTATCTGACTGTTCCTCATGCAGCATCTCTTCATCCATCTCCCAAGGTCTTTCTCACATACCATTACCGAGATCCTCCTTAGTTTTTTCTAGAGAGTAAGAGGAAACAGAGGAGAAATACTTTCAATTTTATAAGACGTAATTAATATATAAAAAAGACAGAGCTAGAATTTCCAAGTGTGCTTTTCATCTGGATTAGCCCATAAGGCTGCTGCTTCTTCCTCGTCCGTGTCTGGAACAAAATTTAAAGTGCCACAATGAAGCCTTGTCATTGTCCAAAAATAAGTCATTGTCTTTACTTGTTTCTGGCAGTAACCAACATACCAACAGATGGGCTGGGTTCTGCATCTCTCCACATTCGCACACTGTTATTATCGCTATGAGCCTCCACTTGAACATATGGGATGACACTTAGACACTCTAACCCACATCTATTCAGGGTCCTCCAAGTAGTATTAGGGTTGTCAGATCCTTTAGCCATATCCTCTAATGTTATGCCTTGCGCGATGGTCTCCTTCCTCCATCTTTTAATCCAGTGTTTTTAACCCATAGGGCTAAAACCCTTGCAGTGAACGTGCAAATGATCAAGGATATTGCATATTCACAGGTGAACAGCCCTTATTGTGGTTTTGGGTTGGCAGAATAAATCAGGACCTTATTCTGCATAACTTAAAGTCTATCTGAGATCATTCCCATTACCTCATCCAAGAAGAAGCGATTAATCTTTTCTGTCATTGTAAAGTGGGGTAGGGAAAGGCAGCCAAAAGATAATTCTTCTTTTATTTATGGGATGATAAATAATTGATAAGAAGTGGTAATCAATAGCTATCCCAGTAGCACAATTAGGAAAATTAGCAGAGAAGAACATGCTTATTATGCAAGCATGCCCGTGGTCCTTTCTTTATGGAAAACAGATTTCCAGAGCTGATATTACAAGCGTTTTCGGCCATCGTTCTAATATTATAATGTTATATTCCTCTCCTTTGTCTTCCTTCAGTAGTAAAACATTTGCGAACACATTGCCTCTTTAATTTCCATCATTTTGGCAGCACTTCTATTTGGCACATCTTTTTATGTACTATTAATCTCCAATATTGATTGTGTTCCATGGGGCAAAAGTTAGGTGTTATGACGCATTGAGCTGTTCACATAACAAAATGCCTCTATGCAGTTTAATGCTAGAACTTGTATGTAATATTGCACTAGGGAGAAGCACCAGGGAGAAGCATAGAAGAAAATTGTTGTAAATAATAATGCATTAAATTAATAGATTTGCATTCTAAGAATAGGCCTCTGAGACCAACGAAGAAAACTATGATATGGTAGGATTCTTAAAGTTAATAAACAAAAGAAGTTATGAGCAATGTTTAGGGTTGGTTGAAATTATGAGATCACGTATGAACATTGGTACTGGCATTAAATGTTTGCCTATTCATACAAAAGTTCTTGTGGATGGATTACACCATTTGCCAGAAAACAAACTGGTGATCATCACTTGCTCTTGGTCTTCTAGGAATGTCTGTCAACTTAGTTTGTTGTTGCTATGGTTCATCAAATCAACTGTGACTTCTGGTGATTTCAAGAACAAGTCCATGCAGGATTCTTGGTAATGTTTCTTCTTAGCAATAGCACTTGGATTTATATACCACTCTATAATGCTTTACAGCCCTCTCTAAGCCTCGGTGGTGCAGTGGTTAGAGTACAGTAGTACAAGCTACTTCTGCTGCAGACAGCTGCCTGCAATTTGACAGATCGAATCTCACCAGGCTCAAGGTTGACTCAGCCTTCCATCCTTCTGAAGTGGGTAAAATAAGGACCCTTATTGTTGGGGGCAATATGCTGACTCTAAATTGCTTAGAGAAGGCTATAAAGCACTGTAAAACAGTATATAAATCTAAGTGCTATTAACCATTGCATCACCATGACAATTGGCGGTCTCTTCCTAGGGCTGAAAGAGAGGGACTGGCACATCCAGTTGACTTTTATGCCTAGGTAGGACTAAACATAAAACCTTAGGTTCCAGTCTAGTGCCAGACATGGCTAATTTCATTTTCTTTTTTTCTGGACAGAGCAAGACTTTTCTAAACAAGGATTGGCAACAATTATTAAGTTCTAAGAACATCTATAGAATCCCTATAGAGCCTGGAGGTATTCATGTGAATGCAAGCTATCCTTCACTTTTCATATGCTACAATTTTTTAAATGAAAAAAAAAAATAGAAGTGCATATCCCACCGTAAAACATTTTCACCTTCATCCTTAAAAATTGCTGTTGCTATTCTAACTTCTGCAGTTTAAATATTCTCCTTTGAGAATGGTAGAAAATTTTCCCCGCTTGAGCTGCTATTGCCTAACAGTGAGAGCTGGATAGCATTGGAAGTTGGTTCAGTAGGATCAGACCTTCTCTTCACCCAAGTAACCAAATGCCATTTTTTTCTTGCTTTTTTCAAGCATCTGGGTCAACTGATAAATGCTTTGCTGATTAAATTCTTCTTGCTAATAGAGATACAAGTGCATTTGCAAGGCCATTGTCATGTATTACGAATTTCCCTATTCTGTAAATAGACAAATAAAGCCTTTCTAAGTCACCCTCCTTTTCCATTTGCAGGCGTATTGTGAAAACACTTCTCCTGGGTCAGATACTCTCCTTGCTGATTTGCGGGACTGCGGTCACAAGCCAGTTTCTTGCTGACAAGTACAGCGTCAACACTCCAATGCTGCAGAGTTTCATCAACTATTGTTTGCTTTTCCTAGTGTACACAACAACTCTTGCGTTTAGGAAAGGTAAAATGGAATACATTGAGTTCAAAGTGTTACTCTCCAACCATGTCCTCCTTTAGAATAGTCCATTCCTAACTTAATTAGTTCCTTCTTAAATTTTATCTCCTTCCTTCCTTCCTTCCTTCCTTCCTTCCTTCCTTCCTTCCTTCCTTCCTTCCTTCCTTCCTTCC